GATATCTGTCTACCATTTTGTTCTGCCCTTTGGTTATCTGTCCACCATCTTGTTCTGCCCTTTGGTTATCTGCCCACCATCTTGTTCTGCCCTTTGGATATCTGTCTACCATTTTGTTCTGCCCTTTGGTTATCTGCCCACCATCGTGTTCTGCCTTTGGTTATCTGCCCACCATCGTGTTCTGCCCTTTGGTTATCTGCCCACCATCGTGTTCTGCCCTTTGGTTATCTGCCCACCATCGTGTTCTGCCTTTGGTTATCTGCCCACCATCGTGTTCTGCCCTTTGGTTATCTGCCCACCATCGTGTTCTGCCCTTTGGTTATCTGCCCACCATCTTGTTCTGCCCTTTGGTTATCTGCCCACCATCGTGTTCTGCCTTTGGTTATCTGCCCACCATCGTGTTCTGCCCTTTGGTTATCTGCCCACCATCGTGTTCTGCCCTTTGGTTAACTGCCACCATCGTGTTCTGCCCTTTGGTTATCTGCCCACCATCGTGTTCTGCCTTTGGTTATCTGCCCACCATCGTGTTCTGCCCTTTGGTTATCTGCCCACCATCGTGTTCTGCCTTTGGTTATCTGCCCACCATCGTGTTCTGCCCTTTGGTTATCTGCCCACCATCGTGTTCTGCCTTTGGTTATCTGCCCACCATCGTGTTCTGCCCTTTGGTTATCTGCCCGCCATCTTGTTCTGCCCTTTGGTTATCTGCCCACCATCGTTTTCTGCCCATTGGTTATCTGACCACCATCTTGTTCTGCCCTTTGGTTATCTGCCCACCATCGTGTTCTGCCCTTTGGTTATCTGCCCGCCATCGTGTTCTGCCCTTTGGTTATCTGCCCACCATCGTGTTCTGCCCTTTGGTTATCTGTCCACCATCTTGTTCTGCCCTTTGGTTATCTGTCAACCATCGTGTTCTGCCCTTTGGTTATCTGCCCACCATCGTGTTCTGCCTTTGGTTATCTGCCCACCATCGTGTTCTGCCCTTTGGTTATCTGTCCACCATCGTGTTCTGCCCTTTGGTTATCTGCCCACCACCGTGTTCTGCCCTTTGGTTATCTGCCCACCATCGTGTTCTGCCTTTGGTTATCTGTCCACCATCTTGTTCTGCCCTTTGGTTATCTGACCACCATCTTGTTCTGCCCTTTGGTTATCTGCCGACCATCGTGTTCTGCCTTTGGTTATCTGTCTACCATCTTGTTCTGCCCTTTGGTTATCTGCCCACCATCGTGTTCTGCCCTTTGGTTATCTGCCCACCATCGTGTTCTGCCTTTGGTTATCTGTCCACCATCGTGTTCTGCCCTTTGGTTATCTGTCCACCATCTTGTTCTGCCCTTTGGTTATCTGTCCACCATCGTGTTCTGCCTTTGGTTATCTGTCCACCATCGTGTTCTGCCTTTGGTTATCTGACCACCATCTTGTTCTGCCCTTTGGTTATCTGCCCACCATCGTGTTCTGCCCTTTGGTTATCTGCCCGCCATCGTGTTCTGCCCTTTGGTTATCTGCCCACCATCGTGTTCTGCCCTTTGGTTATCTGTCCACCATCGTGTTCTGCCCTTTGGTTATCTGACCACCATCTTGTTCTGCCCTTTGGTTATCTGACCACCATCTTGTTCTGCCCTTTGGTTATCTGCCCACCATCTTGTTCTGCCCTTTGGTTATCTGTCCACCATCTTGTTCTGCCCTTTGGTTATCTGTCCACCATCTTGCCTTGAACCTGTGGGACGAGCCCATCGATTTTCCCCTCATCCTGTCCTGTCTTTTATTGATCCCTTCAGTCTTGACATGCTAGACCCGTGTGGGGTCTGTGGGGGGGGGGGTGTGGGGTCTGTGGGGTGTGTGGGATGTCCGGTGTAGACATGTTTGGTTTGTGTGTGGGCTGTGGGGGGGGGTGTGGGATGTCCGGTGTAGACATGTTTGGTTTGTGTGGGGTGTGTGGGATGTGTGGTGTGTGTGGTGGGGTGTGTGGGGGGGTGGGAGGATGTCCGGTGTAGACATGTTTCGTTGGTGTGGGGTGTGTGGGATGTCTGGGTTGTCTGGTTTAGACGTGCTTGGTCTGTATGGGGTGTGGGGGTGTGTGTGGGGTGTGGGATGTCCTGTGTAGACATGTTTGGTTTGTGTGGGGTGTGTGGGATGTGCGGGATGTGTGGGGTGTGTGGGGTGTTTGGGATGTGTGGGGTGTGTGGGGTGGGGGGTGGGGTGGGAGGATGTCCGGTGTAGACATGTTTCGTTGGTGTGGGGTGTGTGGGATGTCTGGGTTGTCTGGTTTAGACGTGCTTGGTCTGTATGGGGTGTGGGGGTGTGTGTGGGGTGTGGGATGTCCTGTGTAGATATGCTTGGTTTGTGTGGGATGTGTGGGGTGTGTGGTGTAGACGTGTTTGGTCTGTGTGGGGGGTGTGGGATGTCCTGTGTAGACATGCTTGGTCTGTGGGTTGTCCTGTGTAGACGTGTTTGGTTTGTGTGGGATGTATAGAGGAAATAAAAGCACTTTCCCCTCTAGCAGTGAGAGCATCAATTAGGCGTGTTTAAAGCGAGAAAAGCGAGCGTCGATTGTTGAGAACGGGTTCCCAGAGGAAGGAATTATCTGCGCGAACAGCGCGCTGGGAAAAATCGATGCTTTGTCCATCTAGCAGGGGAGGTAAGCTAGAGCTGATACTGGTGGGAGTTCTGTCACGTGATTCCCGTGCTTTGGTGCGAACAATACGGCTAAAGCTGTCCGTAGATTACTCCGCTAAAGCTGTCCGTAGGTTACTCCGCTAAAGCTGTCCGTGGATCACTCCGCTAAAGCTGTCCGTGGATCACTCCGCAAAAGCATCTTGATGTTAAGACGGGCCTCTAGCTTCAGCTGTCTCATTGCTGCCACTACCTGTCCCAAACTAACGCCACTACCTCTCCCAAACTAACGCCACTACCTCTCCTAAACTAACGCCACTACCTCTCCTAAACTAACGCCACTACCTCTCCTAAACTAACGCCACTACCTCTCCTAAACTAACGCCACTACCTCTCCTAAACTTACGCCACTACCTCTCCTAAACTAACGCCACTACCTCTCCTAAACTAACGCCACTACCTCTCCTAAACTAACGCCACTACCTCTCCTAAACTAACGCCACTACCTGTCCCAAACTAACGCCACTACCTCTCCTAAACTAACGCCACTACCTCTCCTAAACTAACGCCACTACCTCTCCTAAACTAACGCCACTACCTCTCCTAAACTTACGCCACTACCTCTCCTAAACTAACGCCACTACCTCTCCTAAACTAACGCCACTACCTCTCCTAAACTAACGCCACTACCTCTCCTAAACTAACGCCACTACCTGTCCCAAACTAACGCCACTACCTCTCCTAAACTAACGCCACTACCTCTCCCAAACTAACGCCACAAATTAGCACACCAGAATAAACGAAACTATGTACTTAGAAAAATCTATATGGGATGGGTCAACTAAGACGACGATTTAATTGTGTTTTGTAGGAAAATATGTCTGATAAGTGAGGGGGTCATCCTTAAATGACGTCATGCTTTTTTGCCGATTTTTACCTCCCCCCTCCCCTCCGCCACAAGTCGTCACAAAAAGCCAGACCCCCCCCCTAAAATGACGTCACACCTACAACCCCCCCCCCCTCAAAATTGATCATGATTTTTTTTCTTAAAATATTTTTCCAAAATCTTGTCAGAATATTTTGTCAACAGAATATTTTGATCAATTCCTATTACAATTTATTAAAACCGTTTTCTAAAACGCGAAATAACGGCTAAAACTCGTTTTTTAACTCTGCTTTTTTATAATGCAAAAAAGTGACGTCACACCATCTGAACCCTCCCCCTCGTCACATACCGTCACAAAATTACGGACCCCCCCCCTCCCCCTACGAGTGTGACGTCATTTATGGACGGCCCCCTAAGAAGGGTTTTTTTCATAAAACATTTAATTTAGAAAAGTTGCTTTAGTAAAAAAAATTGCCCTATAAAAAGAATATTAGTTTTAAAGAAAGAATCCAGACTACTTAGAAGCATAGCGAGGGGGGGCGGGGGGGGGGGGTGCGGACCGCACCGTGTGACACCATTTAGGGGGTGACACCAAGGCAAAAAATAGCAAAATATATAGAGAAAAATGATAAATAGTGTTTTAAGAGGTGCAAATCGAAAAAGTTTAAGGAGGGGGGGGGGGGTGCCAATCGATAATTGAAAGTTTGTCCCAGGGAAGTGTCGCTACGCCTCTGGGGGGGGGGGGTGACACCCGACCTCGCTCCGCCATTGAGACTACTAGATAATCCCCCGCTTATGGCCCTTTTATTTTCTCGTAAGAAGGGTTCAACTTCCGCTCAACAGTTTTGAACAATGTCTGCAGTGATATTCCAATTTGGCAAGCCGGTCAGAAACTGTGCTGGTTGTTCAGCTTTTAACCCACCCAAATGTTTAATATTTTATTGTTGGATTTTTTTAGGTCGTCCCCCCTCCCTATCGCGGGTTCTGGCGGTATAGTAGTTCAACCCTTGTATTCACCGCTATGTTTATATAAGGGACGTAACTCAATTAACTACACGCTTATATTAGTACTTCTGTGCTTGTGTCCCTTAATGTGATGTGACAAGACAGAAAGCTGTAGGCCTACAGTGTGACATGTAACATTAGCCCAGAGCTATGGCATTATGTAACATTAGCACACACACACACACACACACACATATATATATATATATATATATATATATATATATATATATATATATATGTATGTATGTATGTATAAATATATAAACTAGTGAAATTATAAATTGTGATGCAGTATATTATATTTAAAGAAAATAAATTAATTTTCTTCGTTTAGCTCATAAGTATTATTTTGTTACAAAAAGAAATAAAACCGTTTATTAATTTTAAAATTATTTTCCTTTATTGAAAAATCTCCCATTTACAATGTAGTAAGGGAGGTTATATCTCGTATAATTTTTTTGTAAAAGCAATAAATTTGATATTAGGCTCCCCTGGTGACCTTTAACCTTAAGGTTAACCAAGCTTGTAAATAAAAACAACTGAAAGGACACAAGTAGTAGATTTTTACTTTATTTTTATTTATTTATATTCAATAGGGCCTGTAAATACGTATATTGTTAGGTGTGTCAAGTCTAGATTCTAGTTGAATCTGTCTAGTGATAATTCAGGTTTTAACAATAATATAATAGATCTAGAATCTAGCTGCGGGCGATTTATTTGTGAATTCGACAGTCCACAGAGTACCAATGCTGAAAATATTTGTTTTAAAACGCTATCAGTAGGTCGTTAAGGACTTCACCCATTGCCATAAAAATCTTAACTGACACAAGAACATGGTACATTCAATATTCCAAATTTTGATTTTTCTCAAGTTTTGACGACAGTAAATTATAAAAACCAAAACAAAACTTCATAATCATAAAGAAATAAGCCTAATGTTTTCCTACCGTTTTTGTGTGTTTCGGTTGTGTTTATACTAAAATATGCTCAACTGGAGGTGAACATAAAGTGGGGAATAAAATACGCTAAAATGGATTTTTACCCTGTATATTATATATATTATATATAGTAAAGGGGCCTATAAACTATCTTATACATTAATCTGACGTAGAATAGTGAATAGAGATGTCAGATGAGGATGAAATTAAAATATTATAATTTTATTATTTAATGAATATTTTTAGTGCTTTGACCCTACTAACTTACTTGAGTCGAAGTTAAGTTACTAAATAGTTAGAACTATTAAATTATTAAATAATTATAGTTTATATTTACAATTAATTATTTAATATTAATATATTCAATTGGCTAGGTCTAGTCTGATTATAGTGAATATAATTTTATTATAAAATAAAATTTAGTTAGGACTTAACTGGCCACAAACTTACATATTTTGCTGTATAACTATTCTATTACTATTAGTATTACTAACTTAAGTACCTAACTAATTAGGCCTGAATAATAAGTACATTCAGTTTATACTATACTTTTGTTATAGACGGAATATTGATCTCAACAAAAGCACAAATCTTTAAGTTGTACGCATATTGCGGTCTCATCTCTTGCAGGTATGTCGAGGGCTGGCAAGATCTTGCACAAGAGCGCTGCGCTGTTGGTGTGTGACCTTCAGGAGAAGTTCCGCCCCAGCATCCAGCACTTCCCCCAGGTCCTCAACGTGGCCGCACGTCTGCTCAAAGGTGCCGAGCTGCTGGACATGCCCGTCCTTGTCACAGAACAGTATCCTAAAGGTCAGGGGTCACTGAACAGTATCCTAAAGGTCAGGGGTCACTGAACAGTATCCTAAAGGTCAGGGGGTCACTGAACAGTATCCTAAAGGTCAGGGGTCACTGAACAGTATCCTAAAGGTCAGGGGTCACTGCCAGGCTATGACAAACTGATGTCTGACACATAAGACACTAATGTCTGTCTGTCTGTCTGTCTGTCTGTAGGTCTGGGCCACACAGTCAGTGAGTTGGATGTCAGCCATCACAAAGTCTTCACTAAAACCTGCTTCTCCATGATGGTCCCCACTTTGCAGGCCGAGATTCAAAAGTTAAAAGGTCAGCTTTTCATAGCTTTTAAAACGAGAATTTTTAAAGACGTTACAAACTAGTGCTTATTTCAGTCACTGGAGATACGAGGGAACATGCAAGTCACTTACATCATCTAACAGGCACCAAGGAAAAAAACACGGTGCTTATATCCTCATACGTTTAGAGGAAATAAGGCTGTTACAAACTTGCTCTGACTTAACAAAACATGGCTGACAAAGTGTCTGAGCTTACAGCTGACCACACTACCCTGATACCCCCAGGACATTGAAATAGCTCAACTCTGCTTCACCTGCCCTCTGTGTCTTGCAAAAGAGCAGGAAAATATGATGCCAAAGAGAGAACCCTACTTACCAAGTGTAAGCTACAAAAGATTTCATGAACTCAGTTCCAAATCCTGATATTTGGTCTCATAAAAATTATTTAAATTATTTTTTTATACCAACTCTAACACCTTGGTCTAACCCTATCTCTTCACCTCTTCTTGCTAGCTGAACCCAACCCCTTCTTGCTAGCTGAACCCAACCCCTTCTTGCTAGCTGAACCCAACCCCTTCTTGCTAGCTGAACCCAACCCCTTCTTGCTAGCTGAACCCAACCCCTTCTTGCTAGCTGAACCCAACCCCTTCTTGCTAGCTGAACCCAACCCCTTGTTGCTAGCTGAACCCAACCCTTTCTTGCTAGCTGAACCCAACCCCTTCTTGCTAGCTGAACCCAACCTGTTCTTGCTAGCTGAACCCAACCCCTTCTTGTTAGCTGAACCCAACCTGTTCTTGCTAGCTGAACCCAACCCCTTCTTGCTAGCTGAACCCAACCCGTTCTTGCTAGCTGAACCCAACCTGTTCTTGCTAGCTGAACCTACTTTTGGTTCTGTCACATAAACTACAGCTTTATATTCAACCAGCCATGGGTCCCCTGTGGCCAGTAGACTGTTATACTTATTTGGTAAAAATATTTTATAAAATTGTTATTGGTGAAAACACAATGTGCTTTACTACACTTTGAACGATATTAGTGACAGAGCAAAGAAATAACTTGACCCACCCTGCTGACGTCACTGACCCACCCTGCTGACGTCATTGACCCACCTGCTGACGTCATTGACCCACCTGCTGACGTCATTGACCCACCTGCTGACGTCATTGACCCACCCTGCTGACGTCATTGACCCACCCTGCTGACGTCATTGACCCACCCTGCTGACGTCACTGACCCGCCAAGCTGACGTCATTGACCCGCCTGCTGACGTCATTGACCCACCTGCTGACGTCATTGACCCACCCTGCTGACGTCATTGACCCACCTGCTGACGTCATTGACCCACCTGCTGACGTCATTGACCCACCCTGCTGACGTCATTGACCCACCTGCTGACGTCATTGACCCACCTGCTGACGTCATTGACCCACCCTGCTGACGTCATTGACCCACCTGCTGACGTCATTGACCCACCCTGCTGACGTCATTGACCCACCTGCTGACGTCATTGACCCACCCTGCTGACGTCATTGACCCACCCTGCTGACGTCACTGACCCACCCTGCTGACGTCATTGACCCACCTGCTGACGTCATTGACCCACACTGCTGACGTCATTGACCCACCTGCTGACGTCATTGACCCACCTGCTGACGTCATTGACCCACCTGCTGACGTCATTGACCCACCTGCTGACGTCATTGACCCACCTGCTGACGTCATTGACCCACCTGCTGACGTCATTGACCCACCTGCTGACGTCATTGACCCACCTGCTGACGTCATTGACCCACCTGCTGACGTCATTGACCCACCTGCTGACGTCACTGACCCACCCTGCTGACGTCACTGACCCACAATGCTGACATCACTAACTTTGCTCTCCCGCCAGATGTTCGATCTGTTGTGCTGTGTGGCATTGAAGCACATGCATGTGTCCAACAGACTGCCCTTGACCTCATTGAGCAAGGTTATGATGTCCATGTTGTTGTTGATGCGTGTTCAAGCAGAACTATGGTAGACAGGTAAATCATGACATACAGACAGGTAACTCATGACATACAGACAGGTAAATCATGACAGACAGGTAAATCATGACAGACAGACAGGTAAATCATGACAGACAGACAGGTAAATCATGACAGACAGACAGGTACATCATGACAGACAGACAGGTAAATCATGACAGACAGGTAAATCATGACAGACAGGTAAATCATGACAGACAGACAGACAGGTACATCATGACAGACAGACAGGTACATCATGACAGACAGACAGGTAAACCATGACATACAGACAGGTAAATCATGACATACAGACAGGTAAATCATGACAGACAGACAGGTACATCATGACAGACAGACAGGTAAATCATGACAGACAGGTAAATCATGACAGACAGGTAAATCATGACAGACAGACAGACAGGTACATCATGACAGACAGACAGGTACATCATGACAGACAGACAGGTAAACCATGACATACAGACAGGTAAATCATGACATACAGACAGGTAAATCATGACAGACAGACAGGTAAATCATGACAGACAGACAGGTAAATCATGACAGACAGACAGGTACATCATGACAGACAGACAGGTAAATCATAACAGACAGACAGGTAAATCATGACAGACAGGTACATCATGACAGACAGACAGGTACATCATGACAGACAGACAGGTACATCATGACAGACAGGTAACTCAGGTGTGACTGATGTTTCCCCTCAGGTTGGTGGCCTACCAGCGCATGCGTGCATCAGGCGCGCACCTGAGCACCTGTGAGAGTGTGCTACTGGGGCTGGTGAGGGACGCTGGACACCCCAAGTTTAAACAAATTCAAGAAATTATCCGGGAACCTTCGCCTGACAGTGCTCTCTTGTCCAGGCAGTGGCTGTAATCTGTGGGGGGGGGGGGGGGGGCACGATTGTATATTATTTGACTGGGGGTGGGGTAAGTGGATATTGAATGAAAGAAACACAGAATCTACTGAGTAGGCAAATTGTTGCCTGACCAAGATGTGTACAGATGTGTACATCTGATGAATTTTATGATTAAAAATGTTTTTAAAAAATTAAATGGCTCACCCCATTGTGATGTGAAGAATCCAGTTTAAACTTAGCACAATTATCTCAACACATGTCACATTAAAGCAGACAAAATGACACCAACAAATGTCACATTAAAGCAGACAAAATGACCCAACAAATGTCACATTAAAGCAGACAAAATGACCCAACAAATGTCACATTAAAGCAGACAAAATGACACCAACAAATGTCACATTAAAGCAGACAAAATGACACCAACAAATGTCACATTAAAGCAGACAAAATGATACCAACAAATGTCACATTAAAGCAGACAAAATGACACCAACAAATGTCACATTAAAGCAGACAAAATGACACCAACAAATGTCACATTAAAGCAGACAAAATGACACCAACAAATGTCACATTAAAGCAGACAAAATGACACCAACAAATGTCACATTAAAGCAGACAAAATGAAACCAACAAATGTCACATTAAAGCAGACAAAATGACCAAACACATGTCACATTAAAGCAGACAAAATGACACCAACAAATGTCACATTAAAGCAGACAAAATGACACCAACAAATGTCACATTAAAGCAGACAAAATAACACCAACAAATGTCACATTAAAGCAGACAAAATGACACCAACACATGTCACATTAAAGCAGACAAAATGAAACCAACAAATGTCACATTAAAGCAGACAAAATGACCCAACACATGTCACATTAAAGCAGACAAAATGACACCAACAAATGTCACATTAAAGCAGACAAAATGACCCAACACATGTCACATTAAAGCAGACAAAATGACCCAACACATGTCACATTAAAGCAGACAAAATGACCCAACACATGTCACATTAAAGCAGACAAAATGACACCAACAAATGTCACATTAAAGCAGACAAAATGACCCAACAAATGTCACATTAAAGCAGACAAAATGACCCATCACATGTCACATTAAAGCAGACAAAATGACACCAACAAATGTCACATTAAAACAGACAAAATGAAACCAACAAATGTCACATTAAAGCAGACAAAATGACCCAACACATGTCACATTAAAGCAGACAAAATGACACCAACAAATGTCACATTAAAGCAGACAAAATGACCCAACAAATGTCACATTAAAGCAGACAAAATGACACCAACAAATGTCACATTAAAGCAGACAAAATGACACCAACACATGTCACATTAAAGCAGACAAAATGACCCAACACATGTCACATTAAAGCAGACAAAATGACACCAACAAATGTCACATTAAAGCAGACAAAATGACCCAACAAATGTCACATTAAAGCAGAAAAAATGACCCAACACATGTCACATTAAAGCAGACAAAATGACACCAACAAATGTCACATTAAAGCAGACAAAATGACCCAACACATGTCACATTAAAGCAGACAAAATGAAACCAACAAATGTCACATTAAAGCAGACAAAATGACACCAACAAATGTCACATTAAAGCAGACAAAATGACCCAACAAATGTCACATTAAAGCAGACAAAATGACCCAACACATGTCACATTAAAGCAGACAAAATGACACCAACAAATGTCACATTAAAGCAGACAAAATGAAACCAACAAATGTCACATTAAAGCAGACAAAATGACCCAACACATGTCACATTAAAGCAGACAAAATGACACCAACAAATGTCACATTAAAGCAGACAAAATGACCCAACAAATGTCACATTAAAGCAGACAAAATGACACCAACAAATGTCACATTAAAGCAGACAAAATGACACCAACACATGTCACATTAAAGCAGACAAAATGACCCAACACATGTCACATTAAAGCAGACAAAATGACACCAACAAATGTCACATTAAAGCAGACAAAATGACCCAACAAATGTCACATTAAAGCAGAAAAAATGACCCAACACATGTCACATTAAAGCAGACAAAATGACACCAACAAATGTCACATTAAAGCAGACAAAATGACACCAACACATGTCACATTAAAGCAGACAAAATGAAACCAACAAATGTCACATTAAAGCAGACAAAATGACACCAACAAATGTCACATTAAAGCAGACAAAATGACACCAACAAATGTCACATTAAAGCAGACAAAATGACACCAACACATGTCACATTAAAGCAGACAAAATGACCCAACACATGTCACATTAAAGCAGACAAAATGACACCAACACGTGTCACATTAAAGCAGACAAAATGACTTCCGATCTACCTTATTCTCACATTGAAGACCAACACAGCGAAAATGAAATGGCTGCTTTATTCTCCGTACATTCAACTGATGCGACTGAAGAAACCCCCCCCCCCCCACCTGTCATGACGTCTACGGGTATTTGACCCAGACGTCCCAGCCCGCCTGTACGTCCAGGGTTGTCAGGTTGACGTCCGCCATGACAAACTCGCACCTGTTGTCAGACGTGTGGTGGTTGAAGGCGGTGCAGGCGCCCCAGTGGGTGCAGTAGACAGCGCAGGAGACGGCGGATGTGGCCAGTGGCTCAGCTCTGTTGTCTGCCCTCACACAGCGCGAGTCGCTGGAGACCTTCACCCAGTGGCTCAACAGGAAGTTGCTAGTCCGGTTCTCTGCTGAGAATGTCAAGGTCGGTGTTAGCATCTGACTACAACTACATGGGGGGGGGGGAGGGTTCTTCAAACAAACGGACAAAACGTTGAATGGTTTCCTGCGATTGTCTCAAATATTTTGCCTTCAATGGGTAACCGGGATGTAGCTAACAAACGAAGCATGAAAATATGTTTTTGGCCGACATGAAAATATGTTTTTGGCCGACATGAAAATATGTTTTTGGCCGACATGAAAATATGTTTTTGGCCGACATGAAAATATGTTTTTGGCCGACAACCGCGATGAGTTGCCATGGTGTAACCG